TTTTTTTTTTTTTTAAATATATTTTATTGATTTTTTACAGAGAGGAAGGGAGAGAGATAGAGAGTTAGAAACATCGATGAGAGAGAAACATCAATCAGCTGTCTCCTGCACATCTCCCACTGGGGATTGTGCCCGCAACCCAGGTACATGCCCTTGACCGGAATCGAACCTGGGACCTTTCAGTCCGCAGGCCGACGCTCTATCCACTGAGCCAAACCGGTTTCGGCTGGTGTCTCACTTTTCAATATGAAAGGCTAGGCAAGGATTATGAGACCTTTGAAGTAAACCTTTTCAAGAAACATATCAAAACAAAGAAAAGAGGAATTTAAGAGAAAGAGAGACATTGGAGGGAAAGATGAAAACTTAAACAAAAACTCATAAGATCTTCCCAAAGATGATGAGAGATGGTATTATGCTGTGAATGAACAGGGTGCTAACAAAATGAGAGAACAAGAAAAAGATTTTAGAAATAAATATGATAAAAATACTTAAAAATTGAGAATTAGAAGATAAAGTAGAATATAAAGAGCACATTGGAAAATTAATCTAGGATATGCGAAATCGGAGTACTAGAGATCCAGAAAAAGAACAAGAAGGAAGACCAGGGCCTGGCCTGCATGGCTCCGTGGTTGAGCATCGACCTATGAACCAGGAGGTCATGGTTTGGGAGGTCAGGGCACATGCCCAGGTTGCAGTCTCAATCACCAGTGTGGGGTGTGCAGGAGGCAGCTGATCAATGTTTTTTTTTTTCTCTCTCCCCGTCTCCTTTCCGTTCTGAAATCAATAAAAATATATTAAAAAATAAGTAAATAAGGAAGGCTAGGGAAGAAAATTCCCCATGATCCAAGATAATGAGTTTTCAGGTGGAAATTCCTGGCACAATGAATGGAACAAAACACAATATATGAAGACACATCCTTATAGAATCTGAGTCCCAGGGATAGAGGAAGACCTGAAAACCTCCAGAGAGAAGCTCAAGTCCTGTACAAAGGACTGTGGATCCACAACAGTCCTCCCAGTGTCACAGGACTTCTCAGCAAGAACTTGAACGATTAGAAACAGAGGAAATGCCTTCACAGTTCTGAAGTTACTTATTTCTAGAGTTCTCTGCACAGCCACACTGTTAATCGAGGGTGTGCAATAATAAGCCTCAGTGAAGTGAGAAAGCAAACCAAGAAGGGGCCCTGAGGCCCAGGGAAACCCAGGGTGGCATGAGGGATGCCCGATGGTAGCAGTACCCCAGCTGGAGCAGCACAGCTTCCAGGAGCCAAGGCTGCAGGGACAAATGAACGATGGGTGGTCAAGGCTTTCAGAAAATGTGAGGCCAAATTACTGTCAGAGAAACTTGAGCAAAGTGGGGGTGGGGGTTTGCGGGGAGAGACAAGAGCTAAAGCTATTTTTCCAAGAAAAACAAAAAGTTGTCCAAGGAAGGAAATTAATCATAGTACACTATGTGCTTTATCTGAGAACAGTGTTTACATAGTTCTAATGCTGAACACGGATTTGACCAAAATTGAGATGTGTCTATTGGAGGAACGTGGGGCAGAGACCACATGGGTTTGGGGCGTGGGTAGAGGGAGCTTCTATAGCAATAATAACCCTGCGAATGTGGAACGCAGGCTTACCAAATGTGCAGGAACCACAGCAGTCCTCCAAAGCAGGCAGATAGTATTCCTTTTAGGACCGAGGAAGCCCAGGCACAGAGAGGTAGAGTGGTTTGCCTACAGTCACAGTTTAAAACTGGCAGAGCCAGGATTTCAACCCAGGCAGGTTGGTTCTAAAGCCTGTACTTTAAACTGCTTTGCTCACCTGCTTTGGGGTACAAAGGCAAGACATGATTTAAAACATCAAGAAGTAACAGGATAAATAACTTACAATCCTATATAATAAAAGGCTAATATGCAAATTGACCGAGCGGTGCAATAACTGGTTGCTATGAGGCGCACTGACTCCATTGAGCAGACGCTCAATGCAGGAGCTGCCTCCTGGTGGTCAGTGCGCTCCCACAGGGGGAGCACTGCTCAGCCACAAGCCGGGCTCACGGTTGGCAAGTGCAGTGGTGGTGGTGGGAGCCTCTCCCGCCTCTGTGGCAGTCAGACATCCCCAAAGGGCTCCCGGACTGCGAGAGGGCGCAGGCCGGGCTGAGGGACCCCACACGCCCCCCCTCCGAGTGCACGAATGTCATGCACCAGGCCTCTAATATGGAGATAAATATCAAATGCAGCAGTTAAAAGGCTTAAAAGTGTTGTCTCAAGGTAGTAAATGGTAGGGAATTTCATTTTTTGTGAGAAGTTATTTGACTTTTGCACTATGGACATATGGTACTTTTAAGAATTTAAGGAGCCCTGGCTAGCGTGGCTCAGTTGGTTGGAGCTAAGTCCTATGCACTGCAAGGTCATGGGTTCAGTTCCCCATCATCACATACCCAAGTTGTGGGTTTGATTCCCATTGGGGTGTGTACAGGAGGCAACCAATCTATGTTTCTCTCTCACATTGACAGTTCTCTCTCCTCCTCTCCCTTCCTCTCTCTCCAAAATTAAAAAAAAACAAACATGTCCTCGGGTGATGATTAAAAATATATGGTAATAGTAATAAAGTGTTATCGAAAGGGGGGAAAGCTAGGGCACCAGTGATGGGGAGGGTGTGTCTCCAGTTTTGACTGGTTTGCCCCGTATGCAGCCTCAGTTGTCCTCACCAACCCGAGACTCAGCTCCGTAGGACTAGACGGTTTCCGGATTCTCCTCCAGCTCCTCACATTCTGGCGGTGAACAAGACGAGCAGTGATTTGGAGAACACGTACCATAAAGAGAGCCAATGAGGGTGATGTGCTAGAACTGAAGGATTGGATAGGTGCTGCTTCAGGTCAGCTGTTCAGGGAGGCGTCTAAAGGGGCTGGGACCGAGGGGGTGAGTAGTGACTGCAAAGGCCCCAGGGTGGGCAGGCGTCATTCCAAGGGTGGCTGGAGGGAGACGAGGGGCAACAAGGCAGCTGCACCAACAGGGTCATGGAGTTTGCAGCGAGATTGACCGTGACTGCGATGGGTACAGGCTGGAGGGAACAGAGAAGGGGGCCCATTAGGGAACTGGGGGACAGCGGTGAAGGGGTGAGAAACAGCTGCTCCTGGCTGTGTCCTGGAGGAGTAAACAGATTGAGCTACAAGACGGGATGCAAGTGTGGGGGACAGAGTCAGGGATGGCTCCTTCACGGTCTGATCCAAACCCAGCCTCCTTTCCAGTCACTCCTCACGCCCTCTCCCCGTAAACAGTCCCCGCCACCCTGTGCACTTTCTCTCCCGTCTCCCGTCCTCCCACTGTTCTCCACGCAGCGGTCCTGCCACCTGCAGCTCCAGAGCTTCTGTGCGCCTGTGCCTCCCTCCTCTCTGCACTTCAATTTCAGGCTCTGCTTGACTCACTTCTTGACTTTCCATGCTGGAGGCAGGCCTCCCCCTCAAGTGCCACAAGCCTACCCGGTCCTTCCGCCGTGTCAGAGTAGCCAGCCCAGAGCTCCCATCGGGTCCCGGTCCTGCCTGAGGTGTCCCAATGTTGTCAAATGCCTGGACTGCGTGTGCCTGCCAGCCGTGTGTTTTCCCACGGCCAACCTTTCCAAGTTCAATTTCCTGAACCCCATGGAACTCCCGACACTCCACAGGCTGGCGACTGAGAACAAGGCAGTAGAGGGGGTGAGTGGGTGGGCAAAAGGCCCGTTGGGAACATCCTTTCTCCCTGAAGAGGCAGGGAGACTGGGATGAGACCCCAGACCAGGCCTCGTTGGCCGAGAAGAAAGCACAAGACCTATGAACGAAGTGTGACTTCTCCACGGGCCGCTTGCCTTGGGATGCATGTCCAGGGGGTGTCACCCTCCAGGTGTTTCTGGCTGGTGGTAGGCTGCCACTGGCAGATGGACACAGCCTTTGTTTTCCTGCACAGGGTGCCTCGATTCCAAAGCCTGCCATAAAGGCCTCTGTCATTGCACAGCGCTGGGCAAGTAGGGCAGGGAAATGCCAGGCTTTGACGAGGGGCCCACCTGGCTCAACTCTGATTTATTTCCGTTTCTGTCTGAGTCATTTTTACACAAATTACTTTGCCGATTACATAAGAGTCTGTGGCCCAGGCCCAGGCCCAGGCCAGCAGTAAGTACTTACCTTCACACCGAGCCAAGGTCGCTGCGGTGAGTCACGGTGAGTCACAGGGAAGCATCATTGCCCTCCAGACCTTGAAAAAGGAACAGGAAGCTGCTTGTGACAGGGCTGCTGGGTCATGCTGGCAGGTCTGGGATGTAAAGTCAGTGCTGCCACCTGAATTCTCTCTTATAGCCCATCACAGGTGACTATTTCATACACACACACGCACTTTTATTTATCATCACTTGCATTTTTTTCTGTAATATTTGTGTGCTTTTTAAAGTCCTTTTAAAATGATTAAAAATGACCCTAGCCGGCTTGGCTCAGTGGATAGAGCGTCGGCCTGTGGACTGAAAGGTCCTGGGTTCGATTCTGGTCAAGGGCACATGCCAGGGGTTGCAGGCTTGATCCCCAGTGTGGGGCATCAGAAGGCAGCTGATCAATGATTCTCTCTCATCATTGATGTTTCTCTCTCTCTCTCTCTCTCTCTCCCCCTCACCCTTCCTCTCTGAAATCAATAAAAATATATTTAAATAAATAAGTAACTAAAATGATTAGAAATGAACTGCTCTGGAAAACAGTTCTCAGGGCTCCATCCCAGGACAGACTGCCTCCATCTGGCAAGTATGTTCTCACGATGAGTGCCTTTCCTCAGATAATGACTGTAAAGGGTTGGAGGGTCTCCTGGAACCTCAAGCCACCACGGGGTGGTCAAGAGCAGTGGGCTCTGGGCTGTGGTGGGGTTGGGAACAGCTGCTCCAGCAGGAACCGAAATATTTACTCTGTGGCCCTTCCAGGCCAGCTTCCAACCCCAACTGAGACCAAGCCCTTGCCCGTCTGACATGTGTGCCGACAGCCTGCTTTCTTTTCTCCTCCGCAGACCCGCCCGATGGCCGACGTGTTCGTGTACGGGACCCTGAAGCGAGGCCAGCGCAACCACAAGGTCCTGCTGGACCGCACCAACGGCTGCGCCACCTTCCGATGCCGGGGCCGCATGGTGGAGCCGTACCCCTTGGTGATCGCCGGGGAGCGTAACCTTCCGCGGCTGCTGAACCTGCCGGGGCGCGGCTACCGCGTGTTCGGGGAGGTCTATGCTGTGGACGAGCAGATGCTGCGCGTCCTCGACGAGTTCGAAGACTGCCCCAACCT